TAGGTAGTGATGAGAAAAGACTAAAACTTACACATAAACACCGGGTTCCAATGAGATTGAAATACAACCATACTTCACTATTTACATTGTTCGGACTATCATCCTCATCTTTGTTACCATATTTATCACATCATTTCGGCCGTTGTACGCCCCGGACTTCATCAGGTGGTTGGAATGTCGAACTGAACCCTTTATTTCGCTCGCTGCGAGAGACTGTTCTAGTTCCACGTGCCATGTCTAATGGATGTCAGTTATCAGTTATCTCCTGTTACATCCCCTCTTCAAGTTCTCCACCACCTTAACCAGGTATTGAACTCACACTCTTTGGGTCCTGTCACTAGATCTAACTAACGCCTTTATCCACTGTACCATGTGTCCTTGAAACCGAAACGTTGTGATAATATGGCAACAAAGATGAGGATGATAGTCTGAAGAATGTAAATAGTGTACATGATACCTCATCTCAGAAATATAGACGGCAACCATAGTTATTTTTAATTTTTCCCCTCTCGACTAACCGACTTTTGCTCTATGACCACACACACATACATATATATATATATATATATATATATTTAAGGGTTAGCAGTTCGATTCCAGTCGGAGAAGCACATTTTCTACGAAATTTCTCGAACATTCAGGCCGGTAAATGTAATTCATACTGTTTAACAGACCGTTACTTAAATTAATTACATCTATAAAAATAACGTATAAACAGAAAATATATGAAAAATAATTGTCGGAATTAATTTATTTTATATATATATATATATATATATATATATATATATATATATATATATGAATGAAAATGAATGATATATTTGTTTAAAATCTTATCTGAATACCATGATTTAAATAATCATCTATATTTGTGATATCAATAAAAATACTTTTCAACCAGAATAGGATCTTTTTATTTAAAAAAAAAAATGTGCGTATTTTGAATACAAAAATCTTTTTGTATAGACATTTTAATATTAATATGATATTTGTAAAATGCAAAATCGATCAAAGCTACGAACGAATATCAACTGACCGAACCGCCATAGCGGTCTTGTTTGCTTGTTTATTTTTCACTGAAAAACTTAACTGCTTCATTATTATTTTTCTGAGAAAAGATGGCTTGGAAAACTTGACACACATAGGACATATTGATGGCAAGAGGGACAGAGGAAAACAGTGCATAACCCCTGCCTAACGAGCTTGTGTAGATGGTTGAGAGAACAGGGTTTATAAGAGATAGCAAAAAAACAATATTTGCTAAGAGTTACAAAAGACAGGAAATTATGGAGAGCCATGATCACCAACGTTCTGAAGAGGCATTTCACATAGAAGAAGGTGATCTAACGTATCTACCCGCAAATACGTCTTGCCTTGTGTGAACGTCTTTTGGCTTATTTGCCCGCAGCACCGAATTCGCTCCGCGATGTAAGTTAGTCCGTCACTCTGTGACGCTGTGGCAGCCACATAATTTATGTAAACTAGTTCCTGTCTGCTGCAGGCGAAGACTCGTGCGCCGCTGTCTTCCAGTAATGAAATGAATGTTAATTCAATTGCACATAAAGCAGTTGAACCATTAATTTTCCTTTCAGCGACTCTGATCACAGCCTTGCTACAAATGTGACATTTTAGCATTCACTTAACCGTTAAGATAAAGATTTTATTCGCCCTGATCATCGCTGCTTACTGCGGCATCTTTTAATAGCGGCTTATCGAAAAGATTTATTCTTGCCATCAACAACCCCAAATAAAATGCCACTGAAGCTTTTATAGACCTTTTATATTGGTCGTGTTAAAAAATATAATTTACTATTTCGAACATTTCAAAAAATCTATCGCCACTTTTTTCAGTTGCAGATAGCAATTCCAAACCACAAAAATAAATAAATATGCAAACAAGCGTAAATAAAGCCAGAATGCAATTTAATAAGATCAGATGATGTGTCAAGAGGTGAAGTATTCAGGACTACAGTTATTTTATTTATCTTAGAATTCAATTTTAGTAGATCGATCTTTAAGGGGGCTTTATAGCTCATGAACGTTTTATTTTTACAATAGAAATTATGGAGAAAGGAAGATTCTTAAAAGAGAGAATTCGACAAGGTTATTCCGTATGTATCCTTCCGCACTCACTGTATATAGACAGCGTGGAAGGCGGGGGGCTCGTGTGTGAGCGCGTTTAGATTTTTTTTTCCTTTATTTTTCTTGATAAAAAGTTAAGTACGACTTCAAATATTTATATGTAAAGCCAAACTGGAAAATAGAGTAAACCTTTTAAAAAAATCCAATAAGTTTTTTTTAATTCTTTTGGAAGGTTCCTCACAGATATTTGGGCGAGAAAAGTGACACCTTGCTTCCAAAAGACACAATCTTTCTTCTCCTCAGTCTTTGTTTTTCACCTCTTCTCTGTTTTCTCTCTCTCTCTCGCAACTCTTTCACTCTCTTGCTAACAGAGGGCAATGCCTTGCTCACTCTCGTGTTATTAATGCTTTGAATGGTAATGATGATGATGTAATGCTTACTGTTATTTAAAATGATGATGATAGTAATTTTGTTGATCATCATCAATGTTGATGCTCGGTAAGGCCGTCTCCGCCCAAACTCTTCCATCCCCTAGGCTTCCGGTTTTTGACTTCATTTTTTGTGTTTATATATTTTTTTCCTTTTTTTTTTTTTTTTTTTTTTTTTGGTTTTGTTTTCAAGAGTTCCATTTTTTTCCACATTCATTTGACTTTTTTTTTTTTTATTCTGGAACGGCAGAAGAAACAAAAATTGAGGTGAAAAAAGAAAGAAAATGAAAGCAAACGATGTTGCATTTTGGTGTGAGAGTAAAAAAAAAAAAAAAAAAAAAGAATGAGCCGACTTGAAAAAAAAATGTGAACCGGGGGAATGGTTAAAAGAAAAAGGTAAAATAAGACCGAAAAAAAACGTAGTGTCGGGTTGGCATTCGTTGGGTGTGGGAGAAGTAAAGTGAAGCCTATCAAAGCCAAGGTGAAGGAAGCAATCAGTTTTGCTGGGGAAGATAGGATCAGAACCACTGGACTTCATTAGAGATTGCTGCGACACAAGCCGTGTGCTTCGGCAGCCTTGTGACTGGCGCGTGATAACCTCAACACACTTAATCGGCCATTGTCTCCTTCCAACAGTTGTAGCTGCTGCTGCTGCTGAGAGAGAAAGAAAGATGTCGGAGCGTTTCTTCTCGTTGCCCTTTTTAGTTTTATTTTATTTATTTGTAGCCGCTACTCTTTGTTGTTGACAATTGCCCGCTGCACTTTTCCCGCTAAATTCTCTTACACTTTACTCCAGCATTCTTTAAGACGTTATATTTATTTTAATATTGAGTATAATGTATTAAAAAAATCTCTTTTCTAGCCTATATAGCCGATTATATTTACGGCAAAATATTTTATTACTTTAAAAAATATTGTGGTTTTAATATCGGTTCGTGATTGGTTTTCAATATTTTCTAATTTGCTTCACTTAAAGGTCACCGCAGGCGTCTCTTAAGCTCTATTTGAAACTACTTCTTGTTTGAGAATTAATTTTATATTGGCAAATAAAAATGAGAACGACTGATTGCAATCGGTGCAGAACGCGGAATCTGCGAGCCAAGTTGAAGTTCTTGCTTTGCTTGCTGCATAGACTTGCCATTGGGAAAGGTATGAAATCATCTGTTCTCCAACGCCTAACTATGGGTTAAATAACAGCGTAGACATGGCTCCCTAACTTTAGGTGACACACAGATGAATTCAAAAACCGTAGAGAGGACATTGTGGAAACCACTTCCCAATTTACAGATAAGGAGCCCGTGGAGAGCAGTGATCGCCTACGACCTGAAGGAACACTGCATAAAAATACCCCCGGGAAGGTGCTGGAATGTTCTTAGTCCAACCAAAAATGGCTTCTGGTTTTCGGTTTAATAACTTTTTTCTTTTCGTCTTTCAATGTTATGATTTTCTTTACATTTTTTTTAAACAAACACTAAAAATATACAAAAGTTAAATCATTTTAATACAAACCCATACTCCGTTGTTATTAATTTGCAAATTAGACTGGAAATTGCTTTATTCTTTACATTAAAAATACTGTTAAAATGCTCTAATAGAAATCTTGCTACTATGTTACATTTTTTCTGTGTTACAGTAACAAATACATCCTCAAGCAGAAATCGGCTCATTCTAAGATAGGTGATATAAGCCTTAGAAAAGGAGGATTATCCATACTTATAGTATTTTTAAATATTGAATATCATTATTAATTTGGCAAATTTTAATGGTTTTGTTTATTTCCTTTTATTGTTTTCTTGTCAAGAGAGTTCTACGTTTTTCACATTTACCTAACTTATTTTATGGGAAAACTTGAGGCGGAAATAAATATTAAGATTTTTACTTTCTATGTGATCTACTCTAGAAACGATAAGATGAAATACTTTCTCCCTACCCTCTCTCTCTCATACACTGTGTATGAACATCGCATTAAGGAGAGAAACTGGCAGTCGCTATGCATCGTTGATCCCTATGTCCACCTATTATTTACAAGATTTCTTAGGTCGAGTCAAAAATAATTTGTTTTTGTTTATTCTGCAAAAAATTACAGTTGGTTCCCCAAAATGGAAATTACCCATAATTCAGCCTAATAACCATTTTCTTGGAACGAATATATATTCCATTAGAATCAAGAATTAACTTCCCAAAGCCACAAGTGTGCGGCACCAAGTAAGAAGTGAAGTCAGTTTAAACTCCACTCCAAAACGGCTATCAAAATCTATATATTATGTTGAAATATTGATTAATGTGAAGTTCCGTAAATTCATTTCTTTTATCACAGAATCGATAATACACCAAGGTTCAAATCCCAACGCTGTCTAATTCGAACCGCTTCAAAAATAAAGCCAATTCGTTCTGTAAGAAATTACTTCGGTAATTTTCCGATATTAATCGTTCTCCGTCCATTATTAGTATCAGGTAAATGACAATGGTGTCTCCAAAGTATAAAAGATGATAGTTTTTCTGTTATTACTTATCTGGGGTTTCGTATCCACTTGCAATTTCTTGCTTTCTTTCTTCGCTCCCTCGTCGCACAATTATCCACATACACACGCCGGCTCTTTCTTTAATGACAGACGAAAGTTTGTTTTCATTGTCTTTACGTAAGAAGCCAAATAGCAAAAATAAGGAAAACAGATAATCAAGTAGGAAAAGAAATAGAATAAACATGAAACGAGATGGAGGCGTCATGATGATGATGATCATCATCATCATGAATGGTAATAGCTTCAGAATAGGATTTCTTTTTCTCTCTCTTTTCTCTCTCACTCACTCACTCACTCACACAAAGTCACGTATACACATTCCTCCTGCTTCTACTCACGCCCTCTCGTCTCCTCCGTCCCAACTTTGTTTACTTTCATTTTACAATTGCTCGCCTCCCTCTTCCCACTTCTCTCCTCGGTCTGCTAGGATGACTGCGTTATCAATTGAGTTCTCAAAGAGAGCTTAAGTGTCGATGCTCAGGCCAATTTGGGAAGATGCAAGCGACTTATTGGGAGCACTTAATCCGAAAATCCGCCGGGGGTAAATCTGTCTTTGCCTAGGTGAAAGGGGCCTAATATGGGGACACGCTCCCTGGGGCGGTGTTAAAATAACATTATCAGGTCGAAGTTGCACGATCAATGCTCGGCCTGCGACGGCGCATTGCCTTAATAATGAAGTCTTCGCTAGAGAGCTTCAGTCAAAGTGGCATAAGATTTAGCGCGGATAAATAGAGTTAGACTCCTCAAGTATGAAACCAAATTTACCTTGTTATATTTCGAACGCATGATAATGTTTCTTGTTCGATTACAAAACAGGAAAATGAAGTTTACCTAACCATGAATACACTCCAGAGAATTGATTTTAATAAAATAGATTTTAGCTTCTAATGAGTGAAGTCAAATGAGACGAAAAGGAAGGTGCAGTTTGTTCGCAGCTGTCTTGTCTATCAGTAAACTAACGAACGCGTCTGATGGTTAAGACAACGACTTTGGCGTTTGTCATTAGACAGTGTCCAATGTCTCTTTATCATCTGTTATTTTTTTTTCTCTTCACCAATTAGAACTCTTCTCAACGTTCTGCATGTCGTTTTCTCTATTCGCCTTTTCACACGTCCTATTTCTCTTTCATTGCTTTCCATTTGACGTCATCTTATTTCGATTTTACATTGATTTGTAGACTGTTTCATTTACCCGCTGTAGTAGACCTTAATTTCCGTTTTCGTTTGTCTTGCTAGAGTCTCCTTTTTTTCTTTCTTTATATCATCCCTCTCGCTCCCCTCTCCGAGTTCTTTCACTTTTTCGCGTTCATTTTCCGTGTATTTCACTCTGTGTTATATATATATATATATATATATATAATTTTTATTATTATTATTATTATAAAAGGCACGAACACTAAAATTTCATGAAGTTGTTTATTTCATTAGGGTTTCCTTTTGGATTTGAAGGTCTGATGAATTGGGATCGTTTTTACGACCCTAATGAAATAAATATAATCTCATGAAATTTTAGTGTTTGTGCCTTTTATAATAATAATTATTGCTCTGTCTTTGACATAGAGCTCTCCCTGGATTTATATCCTTGTCGAAATATCCATACTGATCACTAATATCATATCTTTCATATATACTTGCTGGCTGCGTCTTTCAGCTCTCTTTCTCGTTTCGTTTCCTCTCTGCCCTCATAGCTCTCTTGCTCTCCACTTCTTGACAGGCTCTCTCGTTTGCTTTCTCTTCCTCCCCCCTCATTTAATTTTAACCCTCATTCTCATGACTGTTTCGTCTGCACGCTGTCAGCGTCTTTTCTCACACTCTCTGTTTATCTCTCCTTCTATCTATCTATCTATCTATCTATTTTCTCTTTACATTCATTTTTATTCCTATCTCATTCCCCTTACTGATTTTCTTGAACAATTTTTTTCTTCTTCTTTGCCGTACAACAATTTCAACCAAACACTACTGATGCTCGCGATGCTCCTTACCTATCGTGAGTACTTAAAGCGTAGGAGGATGTAAATATTCGCCTGGTCACCATAAATGCATCTCCTCGCAACACAAACACATACGGAGGGGGGTGGGAGTGACGGAAGGGGAAGAGGAGAGCGTCGTACTCATACTGGGCAGCACAAGTAAACTGATCTCAACCAGATAAATTTTCGTTTTGTCCGTCTCTGGTAGGCAGACAAAGAAATATAATGAAGCATTAATAACTGCATATTGAACCCTAACTCCAGTAAACAGATCTTCCTCCCCGATACCCCCGTCCTCTTTTCCACATAGTTTGCTTTTTTGTTTTATTTTGTTTGCTGTTTTGTTCTTTTTTTTCTTTTCGTTTTTTTCTTTCTTTATCCTTGCGCATTATTCTCAACCCCTCTTATCTTTGATTCTTGACTCTCTCTCTCTCTCTCTCTCAGAAATATCATCTTTCTTTTGGGTATCGAGAAAGAGAAAAAAAGCACGGTGGTAATGGGGGAGAAAAAAGGCTGCTTTTGTTTCCTTAAAACAGAGATAACATATGGTTTATTGAAAACGTTATTTCATTGTGCGTGGACTGTTTATGATTATTTTATTTCTGGGCTGCACATTTCTTTACCTTTCTCGGTGTGCTGCCCTTGCACCTAACACAACTTGAGATGCGCAATCGAGCGAGAGAAAGTAAACCCTGCAATAGTATCATCTCTCATTGTTTGTATTATTATTATTATCATTCACAAAACTTAAATATTAATCTACACTGAAAGTGGTCACGCCGAAGTCATTCTGACACGCACAAACACAATAGAATATCCGTTAAAAAAAGGCATCAGAAGACTAGTAACAATCGGGATTTGGAAAGCTAGAGTTTACGTGTGTGTGTGTGATATATATATATATATATTAGATTGATGTGAGTTAGTGACCCTGGGTTTCACGCTATTTGCGATCGTCGGGCAAACTGATTAATTTTTAAATTTTGGATTTATATATGGTTGCGTATATCGGTGTTTTTATGGTAGTGGGAGAAAAAATTGTCGTCCAAAATTCACACATACTTACGAAAACATACATACACGCACGTTCATTCATTAACGTACGCAAACATACATACATACATACACACCTCGTTAGGATATACAATAGATGTCGGTACCCACAATGCGCCATTTTCTAGAACATATAAGTAGTCACACATGGCCTGAAGATTAAATTCACGCATAAAACACCGTTGCCACTCTGCTAAACTCAATGCCTACTTTTATATTCACATATGCTCTCTCTCTGTTATTGACCATTTTTACCCATGAATATAGATTAAAACTATATTTTTACTTCTATAATCAAATCATGTGTGCAGAGTGTGTTGCTGTTCGATACTAATAACTGAGCAGCTCCGAATGGAAAATCGGAGGGCCGAGTTCGATTTCCAGTCGAGTTCGTTAAAATTCACTTATCCGCCAATACCCTCAAAGAAGGACTGGATCTCTCCGCCTTCCCATAATTATGAGTTAAAAATTATGGCAGACTGAGATCTTTAGCCTTAGTTGAAGAACAACTATTTTGACTTCAAAATCTGACACTATGTGCACCAGTTCTCCGTATTCGGTTCTTCCGAAAAGTGTGGCAGGTTCTGCACAAACCTTCACTTCTATAATCAAATCATGTGTTTAGGTAGTCTTGCTGTTAGGTTCTAAGACCTGAGCTGCTGTATCCCCATACGTCGAAAACGACAGGAGTCATCTCTCTCTCTCTATCTCTCTCTCTCTCTCTCTCTCTCTCTATCTCTCTCTCTCTCTCTATCTCTCTCTCTATCTATCTATCTATCTCTCTCTCTATCTATCTATCTATCTCCGAACTAATCGTATCTCTTGGTTTCACGCTATGGCGATAGTCGGGCAACAAAATCCAAAGAATGCTTCTTTGGATTTTTTTCCGTCTGACGATTTCCCTAGCATGAAACAGTTACGATTTGGATTGTAATCCCTGGGCGCTGTTTGCTGATTGCTATTGTTTCAGCTCACAAAGTGATGAAGCTAGATTTCAAAAACAGTAATTTTTAGAGGTATTGTGCACTTTAGGATTTTGTTTTGATAGGTGTCTGTCTTTTCTATATTTCTGTCTTTTCCTGCATTCTCCTTTACCGATTTATTTCTCTCTCTCTCTCTCTCTCTCTATATATATATATATATATATATATATATATATATATATACGTGTGTGTATGCACGCGCCAAATGCAGATGTCACAGACTCTATATATTGGGTTTACGCAAAAGTGACCAGCGGAACACCAATTTATATCCGTGCTGGTCGCTAAAGCGCTTTCAATGGAATGCATATGTTGACTTCAGAATATAAGTAATTTTTAACAATTAAATCAATTTTTATAACGTATTCATCGACACCGTTATGGAAAGTGTATTGTATTCAAAAGAACACCATTTTTTTTTAAATGTAATCGAATGAAAGCAAATCAGTTTACATGATTTATATGTACGCGACTTTAACCATGAAACGAATAAAAATGCAACAACTACCTGCAGAAGAGTGGGTCAGCAAACATCTCTGAAGGAAGCAATAGCAGCAGAGAATGGGAGATAGAACCGTTCTTAGTATCTTTTTCGTGGAGATGGCCATGTGAAATTGGTTCCTCCTGTAACTGAAAAAAACTCAATTTCTTTCTAACCAATATCCTAGACTTAACTCCTTTCGAGTTCCCTGGGGCATATGTGTCCCCACAGATGTTTTCAACACGTCCTGCGGGATATAATTGTCCCGCAAAACGCATTGATATGAGACAAAGCGGACATAGTGTCCTACTGCTATATTTATAATAATACATTCAATAATATTATTTTTCTAAGTCTATCATTTAGATATGTCTACTGAAACGAAAAATAATATTGTTTGCTGCATACATCAATTACGCGAATGTGGATTTGAAAGGTTTAAAAAAAAGTAAGGTGATGTTCATTTAGTAATCTTTCTACCTCTTAACAATAAACAAAGATCATTGGCTTACGAAAACTAAAATAATATAATAATTTTATTTATTATACCTTGTCAGGGATTAATGTAAGGTCACTTGATAAATCTTAACTATTACCCTATTCACTCACTATAACATTGCTTAACGAGAGCTTGATTCTTCCATTAGACGCAGCGCTTCTAATCTTGCCTGTTTTCATGTAAGCATGGCTTATACGAAATGTCAATACATGGCCCTGCGCTTCCTCCGTGTTCTCGTTTATATTGAAATAAAAAAGCACAAAGCCCGCCGTATACAAATATATATATTTGAGAAAGTATTAAAAAAACAAAAACAATTGGTTGTGGATTAAATAAGTCTGAAAAAAAAAATATCTGAAACAATGTAAAATGTTTTCTTAGAGCTTCATCAAACAATTTGTTTCTTTTGTTTGTTTAGAAGTCAAAAGCTATCGCCAGATAGAATGGTGAGGTCTATCTACACCCGCCAAATTCCTGGCGTTATTTTTTTTTATTTATTTTTTTTTTGTTTTTTAAGTATGACTGTAATTTTCCATGCGTGTAAAAAAGAAAAAAAAACTCCATTGGTGAGAAGTAATTCCACAGGCGTAAAGACAAAATAAAAGAGACAAGCGTAAATAAGAAATATCTTCCTTCACTTATCCGTTTTGTCTGGCCAGCACTGTCCGAATTCTATCAACACATATGGATGAGCACTGGACTGTAATATTAAATAATTGAACAAGTCAGCTTATATCCCCCCATTCTTTTCTCCTTTCATTTTGTCGTCATTTTCTCTATGCTTGTTATATTTTCCCTTGCCACTGGTTCTCTGGACGTTCGTCAGTGTTATCCTCTTCTAACCGATGTCAATCTCTAAACAGGCTTCATATATAAAAGGCGAAAGCTTAATAATTTACCCCGTGCAATATTCTTCAGTGAGCAAATATGTTTGCGCACATAGAAAGAAAGACAAAAGCGCAAATACATTAAAGCTAATGTTCCAATATATAGTTATCTATCCAGAATTTCCTGAACATGTATCACTTACTACCCACAACCGCTACACGTGTCTGAAGAGAACCTCAATGGATTTAGCTCAACGTTTGTGGATGTTATTTTATGAACAAATATAAATGAAAGAAGTCTTTCAATGCCAGGTTAGAGAAACGAACGCAAATCAAAACAGGTGAAAGGCTCGTTGAATATTCCACCATTTCAAGCCATATCAGTCAATGTAGAGTTATGTGTTCCATATCTAATGTTCAACCAGAGCTTAAGAAATTCTCCTGCGTTTCGATAGATATAGTCTTCTCTGGTCATCTTCGCATAAGATATCTCTAAAAGTGTTATATTTTCTTTGCAAAACAGGGATTTAACACAACCGTAAACATTATTGTATCTCGTCGATATTAAGGGTGTTTCATTAAAACGGATCAAAGTCAGCAGTAAATAAATCAGTGTTATTGGTGACAATGTATTTATTTCTCTATTGGATCATGTTATTTAATTCATAGCAATTATGTGTGAAAAGTAATATCGCCCAAATGTCTGCCAAATCTGAAAGAAAAACAGAAAAATCATTAGACGCTTAAACTTAATTCACATTTAAAATCGGTCCAAGTTATTGGAACACTCTTTATATGATGAGTCTGTAAAAGCAAAAGTCATAAAGGTTTGAATGAGAATTGGGAAGACCTTGATGTCTGGAAATACCTTTTTTATTTAAAAAAGGTTTTCTCTATAAATATGGAATCGACAATCTGCAGTGATTAAATATCCAAGGACACTTTTCTTTATTTTTAATTTTCTGTTTTCAAATTTAAGCATGAAAACTGAAGAAAATTTATTGATAGGATTTCTTGCAAAATGTACCTCATAGTGAATAATAATAATAATAATCATTGTTGCAACAAAAAGTGAGATACCTCTCCACTTATAAGAATCCCTTATACAAGAAATTCAGCAATTGAAAAGTTTGATGGCGTTGGCTTAGAAGCAACATTTTTTTTTCCATTTCGCTTACGCATTACCATTCTTGAATATATGTTCGACAATCATCGATAGGAAATTCCATTAAAGGAATATTTTAGCGGAATGCCAATCTTCTTTGAGCATTCTTTCTTGATTTTTCTGTCAGAGAACGTATCATCTTGCTGTGTGTCTTCTATCGCGTTTATTTACTTTATATCGTCAAATCCCGCATCAATCTCCTCTCTCTCTCTCTCTCTCTCTCTCTGCCAGGCAATTGTGTCGGATCTGACAAAAGAAGGTTTGCTGATTTTATCCGCTAGAAATAAATCAGGGAATTTCCCTTGGGATTTCAAAAATCGTGTGTCGAACCGTACGCAATGCTCTCGATTCTCGACGTGCCATGGAGTTCTTGCTTCCTACAATTTCAGGGTTATACATCTGTCCCAATCGTTAACGTGTGTCCTTTTTGTATACAACAATGTCGTCAGTCAAAATAGGGCAAGTGTGGATATGATTTAAAATAAAATAAAACAACAGCTTTTATGTCTAAAGTGCCACGCTAAGCATACTAACGTATAAGGAATAAGTGTTTGTGAGTGTGCGCATGCGTGTTTGTATGTTTGCTTCATTTTCCAATGTCTTCTGCCTACATACGATTTTGTTTCCACCCACATTTTTTTTCATTGCCCACTACTCCTCCTACAACCATTTTTTTGTCATTTTCACCTCGCGTTAATGTTTATGGCATCTCTCTCTGTACAAAGGCCGTCATACAACTCCTCTCTCTCTGTATATTTTACTACTCAGCTCACTCGGATCTTTCAGGTGGAGGAGTGTTATGAATGGAAAAAAAGTAATGTTTCTTTTTTTTCCCCCCCATTCAAAACACTCCTCCACCCGATCACATCTCGCCACTACTGTAATATAATTTGCAGTAAAACGGTTGAAGAAAAATACCATTTTTTTTTTTTGCATTCAGTTTTTTTTTTATTTGTATTCCACTCTATAAGTGAAGCACAAAATTTATTAGCACAAAACCTTAATAAAGATTCGACTTGCAGTTGTCTCCCTTTCTGTTTCCCTACCTAAAAGGCGCGAATGACTTGACTATGCGCAAGAACACACAAGGATTAGGTGAATATTATAACTACACGAACGAGTGAGTCTAAATATCTATATAAATGTTTTATTTCTTTCTTTTTTTATTGGAGATTTATAAGAAAATACACTGAGCTACACCTTTTACAGGTAACTATAAGGATTCGTAATTAAAATGTCGGCATATGTGGTCTCTATAAAAAATAATCAGAATTCCATAAGATTAGAATTTTCATAAAAGTATAGCATTATTCATGTAAATATTAGTATTTTATTAATATTATCTTGAATATTGCCTTCAAGCTAAATATCAAGAGACTTGTTAAAGATTTTACATAATTATTTTCAAAAAATATTAATTAATAAACAATGCGAACTACTCTGTAATTAGTGTGTGTGTGTGTGTATATATATATATATGCTAATTACAGATTAGTCCGCATTTTATATATATTATATATATATATATATATATATATATATATATAATTTAGACATGTTCTGTCTACATATTTTCAATTGGATCCATTCATATTCACGGATAAGCTTTTTGGTGTCGTTATTGAAGGACGAGAGAAAATCGCCGTGTTGATATATATTTCTTTTATTCCGAGCACTTTCGACATAGCACAATGTCATCATCAGGGTGTTGTTTATTACAAGATAAATATTGTAGTGTTCATTATTGTGGGAGATTGTATCTCTAACGGTAAAAAATAATATTTACGTTGGACACGCTACGACAACGTCAGTACCTACATAGGTAACCTCTTGGAAATCAGAGAGCCGGGTTCGTTATATTCAGTTACGCACAAATATCATTGGAAAAAAAAGTTTTGAATCCACCTTTTCTACCTGCAGCTATGGGTTACATAGTACTTGTATGAGTAAATCATTATCTCCCCAAAATTTTTATAATCTAAAAAAAATATTTTCTGGTTTAAAAAAAAAAAAGAATCAAAAGGTCGATAAGCCGTAAAAAAGCAAATAAATCAATCAGTCGATCATATAGCAGGAACAAGCTATGAGAAAATTGTTCATCTTCCCTACACATGTCTCCCTCAAACGCTCATCAGATATGATCGGTGGTATAAAGTTTGTATTCTGTTAACTTTCAATCAATGATACTGGCTCTCATAATTAAAAATGAGAAGTTGAGGCAGCAGGTAAACGATGTCTTTGTTGTGTGTGTGTGTGTTTTGTTTTATTTTATCCTGCACTTCTTCAGAAAATGCTCGAAGGACCTATTAATGCGTCAGCCTTTCTGCGTTCACCACCTCCCATGGTCATTACAGACACATCTCGAGATTCACTGGACAACTATTGTGACTGTTTTTGTCATCCTGATTGAACATAAGACTGAAGAGGTAACTTTGTAAAAACAGTAACGTTCTCCAGTTTTGTTATCTGTAGCGCTGGTTGTCGAAGTAGTTGCGTGTTGTCAACAGTGAAACCAAGGGAATGACATGAGTCGGGAGTGAATCTGGAATAAGTGCGGTGGGACAGCACTCGATCAGTGGGGAGGGTGCCTGCTCAGACTGACGTAAGAGTACGTTCACGACTCCGTGTCTTAAAAATCGGAGCCGAACGGAAATGAGAGATGATATCGCTGGTCCTTCATATCATTAAACCCAAACTCTGGCCGCCATCAATATCTCCCATCCGAAAGAGTTGGCGGGAAAGGGATAGATACGTTTAATCCGTTTGCTAACCTCTGAGTGCGTGGCCCACACCACCACTCTTTGACAGGGCCTAAATGATGAGAAATGAATGGATCTACGAAAGGAGGAAGAATAAGAAGAAAAAAGGCGAGGAAGCAATGGGAATGATGAAGGTCACGAATGGCGCTTCGGTGTAGGACCCCATTCATAGAACCACGGCACATGATTATTGAAAAAAATATACGACCTTTAACCAGGAAACCTTAGCACGTCACCTATCACCAAATGCAATCAAAGTTTCCGTTCACCTAAAGATTGATCCGTTGAATAACCCTGTAAAAATGTCTGGCTTCGTGCTGTTTATTTAGCCCAATCAGATAGAAGATAAGGAAATAAAGCAATAAGAAACCCTCTTTACCCATTCATAGTATTATTATTAGTATTATTATTGTCGTAGTAGTAGTATCAATGTTCTAGCCATTTTTGTAATTATTGTCATAAGGTGTAAGAATAATATTTTAGTTAATGTTATGACTTATTATCATTTGGATTAGTCGTAATCGTAGTATGCTGGGTTGTTAATATTATAAACATCAAAGCAGCATCAGCTTTATTTTCAATAGCATATTTTTTCCGCTTCTTCCTAATTTTTATGAAAAGATTCGATCTAATCTTGATGTTAAATTCTTGTGTTTTGCATGTTTATCAATCACTACGACATAGAAAACAAAATCTTTTATTTCAATGTTTTTTTTTTTTATTAGAAGAACTATTCACTTGGCTGGGTAGAAAATCAAAAAAAATCTCTTTCCTAAACGTTGTTATTATCGTAATCGTTAATGTTGTTAAAGCTTTAAATGCACCGTGACAAAAGAAAAATGTTAAAAGTAATGAACCCTACTAACAGATTGATTTTTAACTTCATATCACTATCGATGATATTTCGAATTCGATATGAAATAGATATTCGAAAAGCTTCAACATCATCAAATCTGTTTTCGACCTGAAAGCACGAGATAAATCAATTCCTCTGCTTCAATACGGTTTCTCGAACATGCCCATCTATTCAGGCCGATTTGTGCTTCTTCTACACTCAACGAGCCAACCAATCGTTTATGAGAATATGCTGAGCAGACCTTAGTTCATCTATGTGCCCCGCCAGAGAGACTTGCAATTTTGAATTCAGTGTAGTCCTTTTGCTAGACTGATTACCAACCACGGCTAGAAAATCCAGTCTACTCTATTTAACCCATGGTTCGGTGGGGACTTCAATATGACCATGTTAAGTCCTTCTGAAAATTTTTTTCATAAATTTTATTAGCACAAACCGTTATGTCAGTCCATGAATAAAATTATCACGAAACATTTCAAAATAGGGAGGTTCTAAAATTAAAAAAAAGAATCGTTCACGTGTGCGTTGCATGTCTTAGAATTGGCATTTACTTACTATGTAATGCTTTTGTTCCATGAAAGATTCCCCAGGAATGTTTGGATTCAAATAATTCGAAGAAAAAGTGACTACCGGAATTACCCATGTATAATACGCCTTCATCCATAATACACACACCTAAAATTGTGCTGAAAATGTGGAAAATGCTTCTACTCACGCATTATACACACCCCTTGTTTGTTATTCGAACCCTATAAATTGTACCTCTCCAATTTCATCATGGCCAGCATTTCCTACTCTTCTTTTAAAAAAAAAATGGTTTTGAACATAGAATAACATTATTCTAATTTAGTTTTATGATAATTCTTACTTTATTTTACGTCAATTTTTAAAGATTTTTTGTAGCTTTACATAATACGCACCCCTGGTTTTGCTTCTTTTTTTTTTTTTCAAATGTGTGTTTTACATGGGGAATTACGGTATTTTTTGCGGAACGTATTTCCAATATTTGGCTTAGCTACTTTTTTATTGTTTAGTATTAAATCAATTGGGTTTTAAATAATAAAAAAAATAAACGTATTTTGTTGCTACTAGTTGGATTTTTCTAGACTAAAATGACCAATATAATAACCAGAAAATGAAAACAAGAAAAATTAGGATATTTCTGGAAAATAACGTTTTTACGAGAAGCAGACTTTTAATTATAATGCTTGTTATCAAGAGATAGAGCATTAATAGTAATAAATAAAATTTCTTCAGGATGAAAAATGGATCTAATTTCAGCAAATCTCAAAATAGTGACAAGAAAAATGAACATTTAATTTTATTTATTACTTATATATAAGAATTTAAAATGTGATAATTTCAATAGATTTATCGAATAGTTGCTCTGATTGAGTCAGTCAATCAGATAAATCAATTGGATTTTTGATTTATTGAATATACAGTGTAACCCGGATATAAGAGAGTTGTCGGGACCGGAGACGAAGTCTCTTATATCCGGGTTTCTCTTATATCCGGGTTTGGTCTATTTTGTTTTAAGTATGGGAACACTTTGGGACCAGAGAAAATCTCTTATATCCGGGAATACTTTTATATCCGGGTTACACTGTATATATTTTAATCATTTCACTCCAAGCAAGGTAATAATGCCACTAAAACAGAATTGGTGATTGTGAGTGAAAGAGAATGAGAAGACTTTAGAAGGAACCGGAAGCTATCATCCTAAACCGGAAACAAGAGATAAACCTATACTCCTGTTAAATAGACCGGAATGGAGTGTAAACAGGACGATAGGCGAACCTCTCTATTCCTATATATATTAATGTATATTTGGATAGCAACTTTTCTTTTAGACATCTTTCATTAAATACGGCAGACAAAGAATATGTAATTATTTTTTTTTTTAGCATCCTTACGTTTTTTTTTTGTTTTTTTTTTTCCGAGAAAGGATACTGGAAAAACTAAATAAAAAAAAAATTAATTAAATCTTCATTGTCTGTCGTATTTAATGAAAAACATATTAGAAATGTTTTATAAATTTCAATCTCTGATTTATTATTCAGATGACGTCTTTTTATTTGTTTATTTAATATTTGGGGTCATTTTTCATTAGCTCATATAAACTAGAATTATGGATTTCGTTATTGACGGCTACTTTGCTACTGCCACAGGTAACAGCGTGCTGTTAACTTGATCTTGTACGGTCAAGAAGTCATTTTTCCGCTTCGCTTGGCTGCTGGTGCTGTGAAGATGTCGAGAATAAATAACGCAAACGTAGAAATGTCAAGTGCACTTCGCTCTATTTGCTCAAATCAGTACATGAAACTGAACATGTATTTTTCTTTTCCAGTTGATATCTTTAGCATTCTATTCGTTTTAGCCTGGCGTTATGGCTGCTGGGAAAGAAAAATATTAGGTCGATATATTAGATACTTGAAAACCTGCCTGGTGGATGAGATAATGGTGTACTTTAACTGATATCAGCGATCGATGTCCGTGCCCAGCTAAAATTTTGGATATCGAATACATTTTCAAATCAAACAAGCTCTCCCCACCTGGGAGATTGGCGTAACATATTCTTATTCTCATTTAGTCTTATACCAGACTAAGCCAAGTATCATACGTATCAAAGATTATTATTCGGGGTGCTTGCCTGGGTTAGTTAGCTCATCCGGTTCAAATGCCAAGCAGTACAACATGCTGTTTCCAAATTTCTGACGGAGTTAATTGCATCATGGTGCTCTTTTTTTCTCAGAGATGGTGCCCAAGTGGCCCTATTACACCATGCAGTTGACAAAATCAAAAACAACGCATGCGCAAAATTAAAAAATAAATTATATAAAATGAGGGAAAATTTACCCATCACACCCTGTGCGTGTGTATGTATTATATATATATATATATATATATATATATATATATATAATGTGAGTAAAATTTGTCACTTAGCTGATTGATTCTATGTTCAGGACCCGGACTCTGGAGTTTCGTAGACGGACCTGTTCGTACACACATCAGTGGATATCAGCAATGTATTGCATTTATTGAGTACTGGTGTTAATAAAATCATTACAATGCAGTATAAATATCAATATTTAAATTATGCAGCTGTTAGTTTTCAAGTAGCACCTGACGATTGCATCGTGCATGAAACTCATATTTGTGCTACCGGTGAGGAAAATATGTATAGCTGCTATTAATATATATATATATATATATAAATAGGAAAGCGTTCTTCATTATTTCTGCTAGTTTCTCTACGGTCGTTAAGCGAGTCTCTGTAACCGAATCGATAAGTAATTGTCCGTGCCAAATAAGCTCTCAAAGAAGTGGGTGCACGGTGAGTTCAAGTCTTGTCTGAAAGCTCTTTATTTTCTAATTCATGTTGTTTGCTTAACGACCGTAAAGTGTAAACACAGCTTAAACGTTACGATAAAAATCAAGTCAAACTTGTAAAAAAAAAACAAAACAAAAAACAAATAGATTTACAAAAGAAAAAAATGAATAATTCGTATAAGAAAATCAGACTGCTTAAGACATGGTTTGGTCTCACTCCTCACCCATCCCATACACCTGTTTTTGTTTTGTTTTTTCTTTTAATTAAGTACTAAGCCAAATACTAAATGAACTCAATCTATGGCAATACTATTGAGATGTGGGGAAATATTAGCTTCTATAAGTCTTATATGCAGAAAAGACTGGGTACTGTAAGCGATCTCCTACAATCCAAAATATGTCTCTGCCTAAAATAAGCCACAAAAGGTTGATAAAACTTTAAAAAAAACAAATCACTTATATTCGGAAAAATTCTATAGGTCTCATTCCAGAAAATAAGTACAATCGAAATGCAAAATAAATTGTAAATTCAAAATTAAAACACAAAAAATATTTTTACCAGAATTTTCTAAAAATATATAAATAAATAAAACATTCAAAAATAATTTCATTCATTTGTGAATAAGTCCTGAAAATTTAATTAAAATTCGCCAATTATTTGATTTTTATAAGAAATGCAAAAAAGCGTTAAATTTCCACTGACGCAAAAAAAAAAAAAAAAATTTTTAACCAAAATTCCGAATAAGCTAGGAAGGATTAAACAATTTAATAAAAGAATCAATAAATTGGTTTTTCCTCTTAATAAGAATAAACTTTCGACGATAAAACTTTCTTTATCATTTTTTTTGGGGGGGAGGGACCTTTTATCATGTTATGCTCTTTTTTAGAAAGGTTTTGGAGGTACCTACATAAAGATTTACAATCGGAGATATATATATATATATATATATATATATATATATATATAATAAGGTGTCTCGAAGTCCTGAAATCTATATTACTCCCCCATCCCCCACAGACATATTCGTAACTTTTGATTTACCCCCCACCCCTCCACTTTTATTTTGTGTCGGCCCCTACTTAAGCAGTATTTCTGTTTTGTCGGGTACTTGATTCTAACCCGGTTGATTTATGTATACGGACCAAGATAGATTGTGTGCATAAACATGGTGACCGTCTCCCCCTTTTTTCACCTTTCCATTTAGCGACAAATAACCATTCCCAAATCTCCGCTCACGCGCACACGACGAGGCGCTCGCACAGCCACGTTCTTACACCAAGTAAACAGTGAAATAGCATGTGTCCAACCAACCAATTGACGCATGCGTACCTCGGATAGTGAGTGAGGGGTCGGAACGGCGGTATTGTCAGTGTGTCTAACGCGAACGTGAGTTGCAGCGGGTGCTGGCTGAGTTGTCGGCGAAGAAGGAACAGGGAGTTGAGCTATGAGACCAATTAATCTAGTCCCACAGGTGGCTTGTAAGGCAACGGAGCAACAATTACTAACATTGTGCGGGACGCGCGCTGCCCACTGACAGTCCGACTCCCATCGGGACGCAAGCGAACACAGATGTTACGCCAGGCCTGATGCATGCCGCCGGCCAAATATATACAGGCTTATTAGCAACACAAATTACTTCCGCATCTACACCAGACATCTTACCACTCAAGCTTATCCTCAGTCTTCTCTCTTTAGGCAACCACACCTTTCTTTTTAGCTACTTTCTCTGTCTCTCTCTCTCTCTCTCTCTCTCTCTCTCTCTCTCTCTCTGTCTCTCTCTCTCTCTCTGTCTCTCTCTCTCTCTCTCTCTCTCTCTCTCTCTCTCTCTCTCTCTCTCTCTCTGTCTCTCTCTCTCTCTCTCTCTCTCTGTCTCTCTCTCTCTCTCTCTCTGTCTCTCTCTCTCTCTCTCTCTCTCTCTCTCTGTCTCTCTCTCTCTCTCTCTCTCTCTCTCTGTCTCTCTCTCTCTCTCTCTCTCTCTCTCTCTGTCTCTCTCTCTCTCTCTCTCTCTCTTTCTCTCTCTCTCTCTGTCTCTTTCTCTCTCTCTCTGTCTCTTTCTCTCTCTCTCTGTCTCTTTCTCTCTCTCTAATTCCTTCTTTGTCTCTTTCTCTTCCTCTAATTCCTTCTTTGTCTCTTTCTCTTCCTCTAATTCCTTCTTTGTCTCTCTCTCCCTCTAATTCCTTCTTTGTCTCTCTCTCTCCCTCTAATTCCTTCTTTGTCTCTCTCTCTCCCTCTAATTCCTTCTTTGTCTCTCTCTCTTCCTCTAATTCCTTCTTTGTGTCTCTCTCTCTTCCTCTAATTCCTTCTTTGTGTCTCTCTCTCTTCCTCTAATTCCTTCTTTGTGTCTCTTTCTCTTCCTCTAATTCCTTCTTTGTGTCTCTTTCTCTTCCTCTAATTCCTTCTTTGTGTCTCTTTCTCTTCCTCTAATTCCTTCTTTGTGTCTCTTTCTCTTCCTCTAATTCCTTCTTTGTGTCTCTTTCTCTTCCTCTAATTCCTTCTTTGTCTCTCTCTCTCTTCCCCTAATTCCTTCTTTTGTCTCTTTCTCTTCCTCTAATTCCTTCTTTGTGTCTCTTTCTCTTCCTCTAATTCCTTCTTTGTCTCTCTCTCTCTTCCCCTAGTTCCTTCTTTGTCTCTCTCTCTCTCTTTCCCCTAGTTCCTTCTTTGTCTCTCTCTCTCTCTTTCCCCTAGTTCCTTCTTTGTCTCTCTCTCTCTTTCCCCTAGTTCCTTCTTTGTCTCTCTCTCTCTCTCTTTCCCCTAGTTCCTTCTTTGTCTCCCTCTCTCTCTTTCCCCTAGTTCCTTCTTTGTCTCTCTCTCTCTCTTTCCCCTAGTTCCTTCTTGTCTCTCTCTCTCTTCCCCTAGTTCCTTCTTTTGTCTCTCTCTCTCTCTTCCCCCTAGTTCCTTCTCGTTCTCTCTCTCTCTTTCCCTAGTTCTTCTTTGTCTCTCTCTCTCTTTCCCTAGTTCCTTCTTTGTCTCTCTCTCTCTCCCTTTTCCTCTCTCTCCTAGTTCCTTCTTTGTCTCTCTCTCTCTCTTCCCTAGTTCCTTCGTTCTCTTCCCCTTTCTATCTCTCTTCTCCCTAGTGTCTTCTTTCTATCTATCTCTCTCCCTTTTCCTTTACTCGAGTTTCTTCTTTCTCTCTCTCTCTCTCTCTCTCTCTCTCTCTCTTTCCTTTTCTCTCTCTCTTTTTCGAGTTTTCTCTCTCTTTCCTTTACTCGAGTTTCTTCTCTCTCTCTTTCCTTTACTCGGGTTTCTTCTCTCTCTCTTTCCTTTACTCGAGTTTCTTCTCTCTCTCTTTCCTTTACTCGAGTTTCTTCTCTCTCTATCTCTCTTTCCTTTACTCGAGTTTCTCTCTCTCTCTCTTTCCTTTACTCGAGTTTCTTCTCTCTCTCTCTCTCTTTCCTTTACTCGAGTTTCTTCTCTCTCTCTCTTTCCTTTACTCGAGTTTCTTCTCTTTCCCTTACTTTTTTCTTTTTGTCTTTTCTTCACTTTATATATTGCCTAGAACTTTCTAAATGTTGTCTTCTAATTTTCTTCACCCTTTTCGTAACCCTTATCCTTTCCAACCAGAATTGAAATCATAACCAAGGCTTATGGCTTGACTAGTGTTTAGACCGTCCATGCCGGCGACAGAGTGGGTAAAGTAATTCACAGATACGGCCCTTCCTCCGACAATATAATAAAAGCAAATAAATTTGATTACTTGACAACGTTTATTTACAACTCTCGCGAGCGCCAAATTGTCTCGCGAGACATTAACGAGACTGTGTCTAGTTTAACGCACCAACATTTGAAATGTGAAGCAACGAGAAGAATTGTTCCAAGATATATTGAATCGAAACAGAGAGTGCTTTCGGATTCAGCACATACACTTGTCCCTCCTTACGACAAGCAGACAGCATTTCATGAAGAATTTCTCATTCAGAAATTGCCATACGGTTCAGTGTGTCTTGAATTTAGAGGACTTTGTAATCGGAACGGCACAGTCTGAACACGCATTAATTCCGGATTCATAATGTTTAAACTCGTTCCTTGATGAAATCACTCCAGTTGAATGATTCAGACTTTTACATATTAGATGAATTTTATAGCTTTTTAAAATTTAATTAATTTAAAACATAAATTAACATAATTTTTATTTACGCTAATTAAAGCAATTATTGTTATTTACTAAGTATTACTAAGGGCAGCTGGAAGAGAGCAAAAACAGGGCCGGGCAGGGTGTTTTACGCCAAGTTTAGACCTGCTTGCATAGAAACCACCATTTTAAATCCTTCCTTTGTCTTGGTTCGAATACCAACCTCGGCTATCGGCACTTTTTGAGGATGAGAGCCACAGCTAAATAACAGCGCAGAGACGATCTTGCTAACAATTACATCCTTGTGACGCGTCTATGAAGGCAATTGCTTTTGTAATTACCTCTTTGATGACGGAGAGGCAATGTATACGGTGCAACACTTCCTGATCAAATCTGACAATATCTCTCTACAGCGATTTTAGAGCATGAGGCACCTATTTAAAAAAAAATGTCACTTTGGCGAACATTCCTTTATAAAGAAAGTGAACCTGAATTCCAGAATATGAGGATATGACCATACATTTGTTATCTTAAAAGTTAAACTATATATATATATATATATATATATATATATATATATATATATATATATGAATCCGTGGGGAAGTAATCCAAGTAGATCCTGTCAATATAAAATATTAAAATTGCTTTACAAAAGAGATGTCAATATAATTTTTTATTATAGAGCATAAAGTGAATTACAATGAATGAAACCCAAAAAACTTACCCCATACAGATGGCCATTTCATCGATGGGAAAAACCCATTTCCCTGGACGTGTCAATGCCAGTACATTTGTTAAAAAATCTTAACAAATGTATTTGCTTTGGCAAGTCCAGGGAAATGGGGTTTTTTTTCCTATGGATGAAATGGATATCTGTAATAGAAATTTGTTTAGGTTTCATTCATTGTAACACACACACACACACACACACACACACACATATATATATATATATATATATATATATATATATATATATATATATATAAATTGGGCAGTTTTATCTCTTTACTTCCTGTTTCATTAAAAATGACTGACAAGGTGCTTGCGTTACCATTTTAGTTTTTTAGATTTTTGTTGTGATAAAAATAGAGCTTTTTTTTTTTTTTAGCTTAGTGTGTGTAGAAATTGCCAATGATTGTTCATTCTGAGCGCTTTCTTAATCTTAGACGTTTTCAAGGATGCTGATGCAAATTGTGTGTAAGCTGTTTAGAGATTAACATTTGTATTCATAAAGATATATATTGTGTATATGGATATAAATCTCAAAAAAGTGTCTCATTCAATGTAACGGACAAGTAAATTTTTATCAGTTTTTTTTTTTAATTCAGTTTTTCTAGTTCTTACAGATTTTCTTCGTTCTTATACTGTAAGAACTGAATAAAAGAAGCATAATATTTTTCTTCGTTCTGATACTGTAAGAACTGAATAAAAGAAGCATAATATTTTTCTTGTCCGTTGCATTCAATAAAAGATATGACACATTTTTTAAGTTATGGAAATATTCTTTATGATAATTGATATGAACATAATAACATTAAAGGTATTAATTTATTATCTTTGTCCTGTACGTCGTACATATTTAGTTCTGGATAAAAAAAAATCGTTTATCATTTACCTCTCCTATAGTACTATAGGAACAACTGAATAAAATAATTGACTAAATCGAATAATTCTAATTGAGTAAAATAGTGATGCAATCTCATCACAATATTTTGACAAGTGCACCTCAAGCTTCATTGAACAATCGGATCCCTATAATTGAACTAGTGTTACTAATTTATCTAATTGTAATTAGGCTGAATATAATTACCTGTTGAAGACGAATCTCGCACAATAATAGGTGAAGTTATCTTATTTAAAGTATTAGCTGTTATTATTAAGTTTCCTTTGAATTAATTCTTCGCCACCTTAATTATCATTTAGTCAACAGTTTTATTCTAGACAGTAATCAAGCACAAAAACAATAAATTAAAATTTAAAAAAAAAGATTTATTTTGATATTAAATAAGCTAACAATGTTGATTTGTAAAATCATCCAAACTAACTTAATTTGGTGACTGAGGTAGTTAAAAATTAGAATTTCTGCTTTTTCAGTAAAGCAAACCCTTTTCAATTTCGACGTAACATAGTTTTCTTAATACTGTTTTGGTCTTGTGCCAAATTAAACTAATTATATGTGATACTTTCTTTTTTTTAATATGATACGTAAGATGATCACAGTGGAGTAACAGATAGCGGCTCGGATTAAGGAATTCCAGTCGAATCCATTACATTCACTTACGTACTAATACCCTTGGGGAAGGTATTAATCCTCTTCTCTCTCTTGCTATGGACAAACGGAGTTCTATATAGCCTTTGATGGCAACAGGTGTACCACAGGAAGAAATGGCAACCTACTGCGGGAAAAAAATCTGCCTCGTCAGTCATGTATCAAAATGTACACGATCGCCTACGCGTATATCACGCATGGCGCATAACTGACTGACTTCTATTAAACAAAACATGACCGTCAAATAAGAATCCAAATAATTTACATTCACTTACGTGAAAGGTATGAATCCTCTTCTTCTCCCCAACCAGCTATGGGTAAATTGCAAGACAGACCGAGTTCTATAGCCTTTGATGGCAACAGGTGTACCACAGGAAGAAATGGCAACCTACTGCGGGAAAAAATCTGCCTCGTCAGTCATGTATCGAAAGATACACGCGTAGGCAATCGTGTATCACACATGCCACATAACTGACTGAAGATGACCACTGACGATCGCAATGTATAGTCCTGTTTTTTCTTGTTCTCCAAATTGTCACCTAACTGTGATTGGCAATATGTCAACGAAGTATTTACAATGAATGGAAACAAGGAAAGGTCGCCGAGCTTCAGGTGTACACGAAAGTAGTCGTGGGAAGAGGTGTTGTGTCGCTGGCATTGAATCGGTCTGGCAAGACACCATGTAGTTCAAGGTCACTCATCGTGGCTAACATTCAATAAGATGAATGTCCGGGCATTGGATTAAAGGAAACACTGAGTCCAATTGTTCGACATCAATCTTAGTGGGCAATTCTCAGGAGATCGAAACTATGGTTTGAACACGATCTGTGCATACGAATGAGCTTCTCGATCAGTGTCCACCTCTCTGCGCACCAACTGGTCATTCTTTGTTTCCCTCCCTCATCCAAGACCACTCACTGCCAGCAGACTTTCTCTCCTTCAAGCCCTCTCTCTCCTCTCTTTTTATCAAGCATTTATTCTCTCCCATTTCGTCGCGAATGCTAAATTCGTACAGCTAATTTATCTACACTTACATATCTGTGATGGAGATGGTAGTAGGCAGTGAGTGTCGCCGTTCAGTAAGCTCAGCTCCTCTCCTCCCAGTCTTTCTTTTACTTCTGGTTGCAATCATTGTCCTACCACCGGCATGTGCTCGAACGCATTAGTATGGATGAAGGTGCGTTACATATGCGTGAGATAAAGGTTTATGATCAGTTGATGGGGACATATTGAAATGGAGTGGGAGTGGTGCTGAAGTTGCTCAAATGAAATAAATATCAATGGACGCTTGCTGCATCTTTTCTGAATGAGGCGGAATCACTTTCGCGCCAAAATTTAGGACTTTAAAAACTGGACGGATGTCAAAGGAAAAATGCTACCCGCTAAGAATCCTACGTCAACTTCATTTCGGAGAATAACAAGACTTTTTTTTTTTTTTTTTTTTTTTTTTACTAGGATGACTTGCTAATCCCCGTTGCAGACACCAGCTTAGGCATATTTGTATTTCTTCAATATAGACAGAGCCAACTTGTTGTTTATACAGCATCTATGATGAACGAACATTAATTAGTTTCCGCGAGAGAACGTATAATCTGACGTGATCAGTAGTTGAAAAAGTCCACTACGTTCAAGATCTCAGTCACAATGACTTCCGACTTTGTGCTAATACAGGCATCAATGGTTTCCGAAGAGTTTTGTCGACCCAATTACATTCACAAGGCTTGGACCAACTCATGGTATGGTTTTCGGGCATTTTCCTGTCTAGTTAAGAGTTCTGGAACTCACTTGGAAAGCCATTCATTTTTAGTTATGCCCCTGGTATATGAAACATAAAAAACACCAACCTCAACTTAACAAAATATAAAGTGGTCAACAAACGAGAAATATCCAGTAAAAACAAATCGACCTAGAATAGAGCAGAATTTGATTGATTAGATGTCTACGTCTTATCAACATTTTACCGGTTATTTAAAGCCAGGATATATATAACTTCATTACATACGACAGAAAAGGTGCTTTAAGTTTTTAATATAATTTTTCATATGATCATATAATTTTTTTCTTTTCAGTAGATATATTATACAAAAACTGTCCAAATGTTTTATTTTTCCGAGCGCTTTCGGCTATACATTTAACCATTTTCAAGGATGTG